TAAAAAAGTGAAGACGTGGAAATGGTACCATGTTGACAGCCAATTTACGTAAATCAGCATTGAGTTGACCTTAAAATAAAATCAAACAAATAAGTTTGTTATTTATTATTTATTAATCATACCAGGAAATCGAAGACAAGTTGTCACACCAGACATTGTAGCTGAGACAAGATGGTTAAGATCACCATATGTTGGTGTAGTAAGTTTTAATGTACGGAAGCAAATATCATACAAAGCTTCATTATCGATACAATATGTTTCATCAGTATTTTCAACCAATTGATGAACGGATAATGTGGCATTGTATGGTTCAACGACTGTATCCGAGACTTTTGGTGATGGTACAACACTGAAGGTGTTCATGATACCTTGAGAAGAAAATCATAATTTTCTTTCTTTTTTATTAAAGATGAGTTAATAAAATTAACTTACGATCTGGATATTCTTCACGAATTTTTGAAATAAGTAATGTACCCATACCCGATCCAGTACCACCACCTAATGAGTGTGTTAATTGAAAGCCTTGAAGACAATCGCAGGATTCGGCCTCTTTACGAACGACATCCAAAACGGAATCAACAAGTTCTGCACCTTCTGTATAGTGACCCTTGGCCCAATTATTACCAGCTCCTGATTGTCCAAAAACAAAGTTATCCGGTCGGAAAAGTTGACCGAATGGACCTGAACGTACTGAATCCATAGTACCAGGTTCCAAATCAACGAGAACAGCACGTGGAACATATTTACCACCTAGATTTCATATGAAAAATTTTATTGTTTCAATCAAAACAAAAAAAGAGACAATTCTCATTTTATTTACCAGCAGCTTCATTGTAATAAACGTTGATACGTTCAAGTTGAAGATCTGAATCACCATGGTATGTACCAGTTGGATCAATACCATGTTCGTCTGAGATAACTTCCCAGAACTAGTAGAAGAAAAACAAAGCAAATTTTTTAGTTTTTTTCAATCTTTCGAAAATTATTTTTCTATTCATACTTTGGCACCAATTTGGTTACCACATTGACCAGCTTGCACTATAATATCATATTAAATATATATATCTATGTATATCTGAAATTTGTATTGTATTTGATTAGACTTACTATGTACGATTTCACGCATATTTGTTGTTTGTTGCTTCGACAACGAACGACGAGTAAAGAGAAGAAATGATGTTGAAGAAAACGATAGAGAGAGGCGAACGACTAACAACGAACATGCACAGAGCTTTATATAGGGACATTATTTCTCTCGTTCTCTCTTTCTCACTTTTTTCTCTCTAACTTTCATAATACACATTTGTTCTCGCGATATGTTGATGGCAACCAATGAATAGCCATGTTTCTATGGCTACATATAACATACGATTTTTCATTCTCTTTTGCTTTTTGCTCTTGTTCTTCTTTCTTTTCTAACGTTCGTCGTCGGGCACTGAACAAAGAATACAATACAATATAACGACAAAGACGACGTTGACGACAACCATTTTGTTTGTTTCGTTGCCATATGAATCGACAACGAGTTTGAAGTACCAACGATGATGGGAGTGAAAAAGGCAGAGAAAGAAGAGAGAGAGAGAGAAAGATTTAGAATGAACTCAACAGTAGTTTGAAAAAAAGCAGAAGCAATGAATCACATTGAAAAAAAAAAGCATTACGTTTTGATTTCGAATAATGATCATCATGACAACTTAAAATGAATTTTTGTCTGATGTATTTGATGTTGTTTGTTCTTACTTTCTTACAATCCAGTCAAATTTTGTCTACATACATTAAAGAGAAAGAAAAAAAGAATGTTGATAAGATGTTTTACACCGCAAAATTTCACTGCATAGATTACAGTTACTATCGTTCTCTAGTAGAAATCAATAAAAAATAATAGATTTCTTTTTGTTTTTTTTTTCTATATAGAAATCGTTTCAACTGAAAAATATAATTTTGAAAATTGAATTATTGTAAATAGCAAGTAGAATTCGTTTTCATTTTGTGCTGTTTGTAGGAGAAACTTTTGGTTTATTATGAGAAATAATTTGCTCAAAACTGATCAACGGAAAAAAAAATCTTTCAAACAAATTTACAAAATTCAAATTTGAAATATGATCAGTTTTATGGTGTTTTGATATAGTTTTATGCATACACAATGCAAATTGATAGGTATTCGTTTTTTTTTTGCTTATAGAATATATATTGTCGCAAAAAATAAAATCAATGTTGATCAGATTTACAAACATACCTGAAAAAGATCTTGCACAGCGATATTTCGATGGAAAGCATCAATAAATTAAATATAAGTAGATATCATTTTACTACAGAATGGTTTCGTCGGCTTTCAGAATTCTTCATTAATGTTTATCAGTTCATTTTTTCTATATAATTAGCATTTTAAGAAATAAAGAATCGCACGTGAATAAATTTCCATTGTATTTATCAAGAACAACAATGAGAGTCGATATCAGTATGAAATCATATGCATCATTGGTTTTAATGATGAAAAATCATTTTCTAAGTTCCTTCTTCAACTAGAACTAAGCGATCAGATTTGAGACAAATCTGTTTTAAAACGTACTTTGTATTTTATAGAGAGGTTTACAAAGAATAGAGGAATTTTTTCGTTAATTTGAAAAGGAATTTGTATTGTTAATTAGTATACAAATGTAACTGTTTAGTCTTGTTAACAAGAATACTATAACAAAAACAAAATACAACAACAAAGCATCTTGTTAACAATGAGAGCCGAGTATAATTGATCATTGTTAATGTATAATACAGTTTTATTCATAAAAATTTGTTTTGTCGTGTAGTAGATATGAGATTGGTTTGAATATTTTTGGAATCGAACTACCTTGGTTTTTAAAAAGTTCGAACCAAATTGATTTCATCTCTGTTATGTATTACTTTGCAAAGGTGCATTATTATGTAAAGTGTTCAACAAATTACCGAACTAGTTTTATTTGACGAAAATACAGTTCTATTAGCATTGGTGATTGTATTAGTAGTTCATATAGAATTCTCTATACATAGGAGAAAAATTAGAAAACTCAAGCATTACTTCGTAACAGAATTGTTCTAAAAAGTCACACTTGATCTCATATTTATGACAGTTTAGTGACATAGTTGATGATAAGTAGTACTCTGTCATTCAATACAGCTTCTGAATAGAATTGTTGTTTTAAGGATAAATACTTATACATTGTTGATTAGTCGAATCACTATATGACTTAGTATATAGCAAGCAGTACTAGCATTTGAAACCTGTATTGTGTGGTATTTTACATGAATGATTTCATATGATTAAAATCTGTCCCGTAGGAATGTAACAATCACAAACATCGATCAAGAATAATGTTGCTCATATTTTAACATGATACGTAAATTGTGATTTAATCAATTTTGCACTCCAAATGACTTTAAGTGGAAAGGCAAAACAAATCATTAGATACAATTTAACTAGGTTAATGCAATCGATATGTGATATGAGTTTTTCTTTAAATTTCATGCTTTAATTGGTTGGGCTTTCTGAAAATATACATAATGTAAAGCGTTTTGCCGATTTCTGTTAGAATAAATAGATACTAATACATGTGAAAAATATCAATTTTCTATACATTTTACAATTAAGTTTTCAATCATCAGTGCAAAAGCGACTAACGTGGTCGTTCTTTAAACAACTTGTTTGTATATTGAGATTAGTATTTTTTTTTCTGAGTTATCAATATTGAGTGCGCCTTAACAAAGGTAAAATTAAAGTCGTCAATTCAATATGAACAGTATTCTATGTCTATTATCTTAGTGACATGTCATTTTCAAGTTGAATAATATATTAAAAAAACAGCTAATAAGGAACCATAGATAGTTAAAAGTGGGTTTCTTGTTTTTTTTTGAAAAAAACTTTGTTTCACTAACACTTTAATATTTATTTGCAGTGTACTCTGAACGAATTCTCAAGGGTTTTTCATGATAAGAAATTGATTTTCGAAGCAATAGAGTGTAATGAAAAACCGGTGAGCAGCCAAATACATCACATATAAGGATATCTTTCTTAAATAGGAACATGTTGTGTAAAATCTTGTTGTTTGTTACTTAGAAGTGTACTTCGTCTATGCGCTTTATTCTAGAAATTGCCTATGTTTATGACTCAAACATGCTATTTAGTTATATAAAAGGGCATTGATTAAAAGTAATTGATTTTATTCTTTCGAAAAATAAATTGTGTCAAGCATTTCGAGTCTGATTAATTGTATTATTTCAAGGACATTCTTCTTACTGATGATATTCTTTCTTTTTTTGTTCAAAATGGATCAAATTAGAAACTGTAGTTGAGAACAGAGATGAAAATGAGTTTTCCAGAGACATTATAGAAAACTCCAGTACGTTTCATGTATAAATGACTTTTCTATTTGATCCTATTACGTGGTCGATCGAAGAAAACATCAAATTTTTTTTTATGAAACATTTTTAAATGAATTTTTGTTTCTGTTGAATTCTAATCGAATATCAATGAACAATTATTTTTCATTTTTGTTTTTATTAAATGACTTCTTCTTTTAAACTAACAAATGAATATATACTGACAGAATAACAAATATTTATCTGAAAATGAAAAAACTTTTTCGTAGTGCACACAAGGTATTTTTAGTATCCAAGAATTGCTTATTATTCAACAAAACGACACGTATAATTGTACTGGAACTTTGTCATTGAGATCTCGATTTATTAGAAGACTCCGTCGATTTAGTTTCGAACTCGATTGGGCACGGACCCGACAAACTCTATTTAGTAATCAAACTCAAAAATAAGTATATTCTTAATCATAAATTCATCCATGATGATATTTTGAAAAAAAAGTCAATAAATGATAAATATTGAATTTTTAAAAATAAATTCTATTAATCATAATAATTGAAAAAGTTTTTATACAAGATATATAAGAAAGAATAATTTATGCTTGTTTATTGTCATGTTCAATTGATTGAATATTTATTTCCAAGTTATTATTTTTAATGTTTGTTTAATTTACTACCTTGCTGTGGTTTTAATTCAATAGCACCACTGTCATTCAATACTGGAATTTTAACATTATCATTAACTGTTGGATCAGGTTCACCAGGTTTTAATTCAGTGTCTTTATGTTGAGTTTCATTTTCATCGTTGTTCGTTGTGTTAGGTTGTGGCGAAGGTTCTTCTTTATGTGTTTGATGCATATTCATTTCATGATCTTTTTTTTCTTCTTCTTTTTCAATTCGATGTTGTGTCTTAGGTGATGGTGGTTTTGGACGAAGTTTATCTAGTTCTTTTTCAATGTCTTCAAGGCTGCGTTCATTTTCATTATTTTCATCTTGTTTTTCATTGTCTTTTGTCAATTTAGTCGATTGAGGTTTTGGTATATCATCTTCATTTTGTGTGGATTCTTTATTTGCTTTATCTTCTTGCTTTTTCGACATGATTGAATCGTTTAAAAACTAAATTAGAAGAAATATTTCGAATAACGCACTATATAATATTATACTCTATCACTCATAATAATAAATGAGTACGATTGAGAATGAGTCAAAGTCCTCCTTTCAATACGACAAAAAAATAGCTCCTTGATTCTTTTTTTTTTCGATTCTTCTATTGCGACACACATAATTCGTATTTCTCTTATACACACACGCTACTAGTCATATGACATATTCAATTTGTTTCAATATTAATTTAAGGATGATTTCACAACAAGAATAACTCATTCATATCATTATCTGAACCGTTTGCATCTACTAATTTTATTCAGGGAATAATGACTATTTATAGAACAAATACGTTGACAATATCTAAAAATGCATATGAAATATGAAAATTGAGAATATGAAAAAAAAAAACGTTTTTCTTCTTTTCTATGTTTACATTAATTGCATAGATAGAATAAATTTGTTCTTAAGAAACGTCATTTGCCATTTGGTTTATTTCGAAAATCATTTGTCTTTCTCGATTTTTTTTCATCTGTAGAAAATTTTTACAACAGTTAAAATTTGACAAATGAATACGTATTTTTCAATGATGTTGATAAAATTTCGGATGATCATTGCATGTAGTAAATTAGGTGTTATAAATATCTTGAACAGTCTTGACTAAATATTGATAAGATAGTCCTCGAAGCCGTAACCAGAACCAGCATTTTTCTTTGGCAGAGATAGCATTATAGTTGTGTAAAACTTGAGTCAGTTGTCATTTTGTCACCACTCATGTGTTCTAAATAGATATGGATAAGATGGATCTGCTCATATCTAATCTTGACATATGTAATGTAGTCGTTGATTTGTCTAATGAAGAGTTTTTCAATTTTTGTATTAGCGCAATAATGTGAAATTTGTTGTTTGTCTTTTGATATAGATAACAAAAAAAAAAACTTTCAACAAAACAAATAATGTTGAAGATCATTAAAAAAGATATAGTACACTGCACAAGCTTCTGTCAAAGAAGAAGTACTTTGTTTTCCTATATATTGAATATGAATTGAGCAAAACTTGGGAAAAACTTATAAACACATTGTGTTTCATGAAAAGATGAAATATAAATTTATTTTCCAGTCTCATCATTTTGCTTGTACATTTACAAGAACACGTCATTTCAAGTTTTATTATGTACATTTTCTATTCGATTTATTAAATTCTTTAAATCAAGGTTTTGTTGTTCCAAAAATGTAAGACAATAACAGCTGCTAATCATAAATTGCTATCTATTGATTTATCAGTATGGCTGTTAGATATAACTTATGTATAAATTAACACCTATCATATTGCGCAAGCATATTCATCAATGGAAAGTTCCTATACTTTACATTATGGTTCATCCATATGGAGTCATTATCATCGATTTGAAATTGATGAAACAACTGGTTAAATTATTTCATCTTCATTATTATCCTTTATTGGTTCGAGTTGCAATTACTCATAATCTATTTACATCTTTTGTTAATCTTCCATGTAATAGTTATTATAGCAATAGTCACTATTTGTCATGCAATATTTATAATACATGTTAATGTATAGAACACACGTTTGGAGATTAACTGATCGATTTATCAACTACAAAATTTTACTGACGTCTCGAAAGGTGTTGATAATGAACATCGTACTGATCTTAATTTCATTCGTATGAATTTTTTTTTCAATATGCTCGTTAGTATTAATTACTAAAGAAATTATTGTTTTCAAATAGTGTTAAGAAAAATAGACACTAATAATATAGAAGTTAAGACCATCTGTATTTATTTTATTATTCTAACAATATCCGTTTTGTTGACGGAACTGTGTCTAGTTATGATAATAGTGTAGCTGGGAGCAATTCGATGAGATTCAATGGGCCCAATAGTTTCTATGTCATTCAAAAACAATTACTTATATGCTATTGCCTCTAATGATGGACTTATTTTTATAACAAATAGAAATAAAAATCACTTGTCAACATGGTATACGTTGAAAATTACTGACAATCATAATTCTTGCATTAGAGATCTGATTTAAAGATGCAATGCTCTTATCAATGTCATCTGTTTGTAAATGCGACAAATATTGAAAATGTCATTTTATGGGCTTCGCTATCAAAGAGTTAAGAGCTATTTTATTCGACACTTGTTTAATGGATCATATAGAAATACTATTGTTGTTAGTAAATGAATTACTGGATCAAATGCATCGCAATCATACAATGCAATGTCAATATTGATTGATGGAAAACAAACATCAAAAGTGTAGATTGTAATGATATATTAAATAATCGAGAGTAAGTTTAGGTTGACAAATACTGCAAAATGAATAAACATCAATAAAACTATAAATGATCATTCGCTGGATATATGGTACATAAATCGTCAACAAATAGTATTTTATATGTATCCGGTTTTAGTAATTCACGTATTCTGTAATAGTTATTTCAAGTTATTATCAAAGATACAGTAATTACTAGCGAAACAACTGGTACTAGTCTATATACGCTTCATTATTCATGTACTGTTAATCTTAATCCAACAGAAGCGTATATTTACATAACTGACAACAAAAAATAATCAAATATCAATATACAATTTAGTCAATAAAATTATCACATTAAAAATATTGCTTGTTGCCCAAGGTATTGGAACAGCGGCAAGTCAACTTTACGGGTTATATTGTTTATGTGTCTTTTACAAAACAGATATCATTTATATAATCGAAGAATATAATCACGATGAAGAATATTAGCAGAGAGGCACAACATCATAGTGTTACTATTGTTGATAATCCTTATGGTGTTTTACATAACGAATCTGCAGTGATGAAAATGCTATTTAACATTTGTTTAACTGTTAATAAAATATTTTTCTATGTGTTTAATTACAGTAATGATCATGTTTGATGTTTTTGTTATATTTAAAGAAAACTTCTTCGAATATTGTAATTAGTCCCGAAATTATATATAGTGTTTTTTTGTTTTATTTGATCTTTATTATTTCCTATTATGACAAATAAATATTCATAAATTTTTGAATTAGTATTCAACAAAACATTATAAATACTTACTTATTATTTTTAAAGTAGAAATATATATATAACAATTAGATGTTTTCTTTTAGAATTCGTTGCACTAATAAACTTAACCTATATCATAGAATAAAAAAAATAAATCATAATAATTATGAACAGAAGCATTAGTCATTATTATTATTATTATTATTATTTGTAATACAAACATTATTTCTATATATAAGAAAGTTGTTTCTTATAAATGACCTTTATATGCATGTTAACACCTGTTATTTCTTACTCGATGGTATCCATAGACTTTGCTTTTCTTATTTTCTATCTCTGTGTTTCATTTCTCATCAAAACCAATTGCTTTCTGTCACACAACCACATAAAAGAGGATGTATATAGTGTCGACGAATGATGACAGCTACTGATAAAAAAATAGAAATAAAAAAGAAAGTGTCGATATATTAAAGCAATATAAACATATAAGAAGAACAGAAATAAACAATCGTAAAAAAAAAAGAATTTTCAGTTTAAATAAACATATCAAACTATCAGTAAGACATGGAAAATAAACGAATGTTATCAGCCATTGCTCAAGGAACTGCTCGTCGACCAAGTTATATGAGTAATGCAACAATATCAGGAGATGATGATCAACTACTAGATACTAATGGATTAGATGAGTTTACAACAGAATCTACTTTACAACGACATCGATCAAGTCGAGTAAGTTGTTTTTTTTTTGTTAAATAACAAGCATAGAAAAATAAAATTTTCTACTGTATATGATCCTATAGCTTAATTCTCTTCGACTTTTACCTGATAATCTTCTTGTTTTAATATTTTCTTATTTAACACCACTTGATCTTATACATTGTACATATGTATGTCAACGATGGCATCTTCTTATATCTCGTCATTCAACTTTATGGCGACGTCTTTTCTTACGTCCAGAATGTGGTAATGGTCAAATAGGTGCTGTTCATGTTCGTCGTTTAGATGCATTTCTTCATGCACTTGCAACACGTTTTAGTTCATCACTTATTTATATTGATTTACCTATTGAATTAATAACTGTTGAAGTCTTACGTGAATTAGCTGTACGCTGCCCAAATTTAGAATATTTAACATTGGATTTTTCATCAGCTATGCAATTACATGATTTTACTGAATTAAATGAATTTCCATGTAATCTTAAACGATTATGTATTTGTTTATCAGAAGTCATTTTTCTCGAAGGTTTTATGCGTCGTATATATTCATTTTTATCATCATTAAATACATTACATATAGTTGGTACACTTGAAAAAGCATCTTTAACATCAGCACCAGAAGAAACAGATGATTATGAAACAATTAATATGAGTAGAATTAAAGCACATGCACCTAATTTACATACAATTAATTTATATGGTGTTTCTTTTATTGATGATAGTCATATTGAAGCTATTGCATCTGGTTGTATACATCTGCAATGTCTTGCTTTAAATTTTTGTGTACGAGTAAAAGGTACAAGTTTTAAAATTTTAATGAGTCGATGTCGAAAAGTTACATGTTTATTATTACAAAATACGGGTAAATAAAACGATTAGTACTGAATAAAAATAATCACTTTATAATGTCTTGCTGAATTATTAGACTAATAAATTATACAGGGTAGCCCAGAAGTAACATGACAAATAATTTTTTCGATTTTTTTTTGAACATAGTAAGTTAGATCTCATATTTATACTACATATACTTAGTGACATAATTCAAAGATGCAGCATATGCTCAGTATCTAGCTGTTGGAACTGATCCAAAAGCATATAAATAATACAAAGCTTGCCAATGGAATTATGTTGATGAGCTTATCAATCAGTACCTGAACGATTGCAACTTTGCAAAGATTTAGAGGGTGAACACATTGAGCAATTTTCGTGAAAAACTTCGCTATGAAAAACACGTCACAAATACATATTATTGTGTGTCATTTTCTAGTTCTATTGTCTAAATAAACGTTTTGTTATAACTTAGAGTTTGTTTTCTTACTTTTGGCCGCTCTATATTTGTACGCTTTTAAACAAATTACTACACTTAAGTACTTATCATATGCTGCATCTTGGAATTATGTCACCTAATATATATGGTATAAATATGAGATCTAACTTACTATGTTCAAAAAAGAAATCGAAAAAATTATTTGTCATGTTACTTTTGGACCACCCTATATATATATATGCCTTACTTTTCTAGGTATATTAGATGAAGCTATGCTTGCTCTTAATTGGTCTACGACTCAACTTTCTGAATTAGATATATCATCAACAGACTTAAGTGAAGCTGCTCTACTAGATTTTTTTTCCATGGTACCGAAACTTACATATTTAGCTGTACCTTTTTGTGATGGTTTTACAGATGCGGTAATATGAATATTAATGACTTATAAGAAAACATTCTCAAGGGATCTATACTTCATTTACTCTCATATTTTGCCAATAGGTAGGAGATCACTGGAATAGTCTAATCTCTGAAGGTTTTCTACTCAGACTTACATTCGGTGAAGATAGCAACTTTTCAGATATATTCTTGCTGCAGGAGGTCATTTTTCAAAAAAAAATTATATTTAGCAATTTCGATCTGCCCCTTTGAGCATATCAAGGTCTCAATTGGAGAGCCTCATATACGAAGTTTTATAAGTTTTAGATATATATTGAGGAATTCATATCTTATTAATGTGTTATCTAAAAACTAATGAAACTTTATACATCATATAGTTAGATTGAGCCATACATGTTTACAAACCTTGAAGTCAAATCTATCAAATATAATTGAAAACTGAACTCCTGCAGGAGAAGTCTATTGAAAAGTTCCTATCCCGAACAAATCTAAACATAAACAGAAAACCTTTGCAGATTATACTATTCTTGTAATCTTCTACATATTATCAAAATATGAGAGTAACTGCAGTGCGAATTACTCGAGAATATTTCCCTCGTTAATAAAAATCATTATAAAATCTAGGTTTTAAATTTATTATTGGATCGTGGTAAATTAAATGGATGTCGAGCACTTGATTTAAGTAATACAGTTAATTTAAATGTTGAAGCTGTTCATCGATTATTAACATCATTTACTAATATATCTTATCGACTTGAAGCATTAAGTTATACTGGTCATGTTGCTATAACAGAACAATTTTGGATTAATGCTATTCGATATCTTCATCGAATTAAGTAATAAAATATTTAACATTAAAAAAAAAAGTAGCATCTTTTGTTTTGATTGTTCTAGAATACTTATTATTGGTACAGCACATAGTTGGTTTAAACAGGCAACACGTCGTATTCATATTGATCAAATACTTGAAGCATGTGCTGTTCATTGTCCTCGTTTAAATCGTCTCGAAATTCAATGGGATCCCGAAACACTTCGTTTTGGTGAAAATTCATCGAAATTTATTGATCATCTTAGGTAAATATTTTAATTTCTTTTTGTTTTTTCTTTTCTGGTTATTCATAAAGTCTATTAAAATATTTAAAGAATACGATGCACAAATCTATTATCATTTGTTCTTTCTGATGGACCTTATTATGAAGGAGCTAAAGCAAATTTTGAACGAGCAGAACGACATGGTATTGTACGAACAACAACTATGTATCAAACAAGTATTGTCAGTAATCTTAGTTTTTATAATGAGTTGAAATTTAATTAAAAGAAAAATAAAATATTTAATTGAAATAAAATATAATATAAACAACTTGTAAACAATTTTGCTTTAGTGTGATAGAAAACAATGTATGAATCATAAGTGTGTTTTATTTCTCATAAAAAAAAAAAAGGAAAGAAAAAAATAATAAATTGCCATTTTTTTAAACTTTGGACACGTTTTACACATATCAGAACGAAAGTTGTTACGTGGCAATTTTTATACAATAAAATTGCACAAGTATATTGTAAATAATTACATTGATACTCGAATGGGCTCGAAAAAATCGAAACAACAAATTTATTCTGTACATGATGAGATTAAAAATTCAACTTGTTTCGAAGATTTAAGTAATGATCTTATTTATGAATTATTTGATTATCTTTCATTTCATCATATCATTTTGGCTTTTGATAAATTGAATAAACGTTTTCAAAATCTTACAGATACTTATTCACATTATGTAAATCTTCAACAACACACTGAAGACAATATCATACCATTACCTCAGTATATTGGTTCACTTAAAATAAGTGCTCGTTATCAACTTCGATTTATTGATTTTTCGAAACTTAGTTCACTTCATTGTTTAATAATTTCAAATCTATCAATATTTAATTTATTTCATATATTCAATATTCTTTCATTAAAAGAACTTGAATATATATATTTAGGTGCATGTACTGATTATTATAGAGATGAACATGAACAACTTGCAAAAGTTCAAGAAAAAATTCTCTTATTAGGTAAATCAAAATTAAAAAAATGCGTATTTCGTATGAAACTTGTTGCAAATATTGATCAATTACCAATGAATTTAATATCATTAGAATACTTACGAATAGATGGATGTGAAAATATATCCATTGTTAATAATCTACTTGATCGTATGCCAAATTTAAAATCTCTTCATGTGTCTATTCTTCAATCATTTGCAACTAATGATAATCAATATCATAATATGAAACAAAATCATAAAAATAGTTCTCTTATTAATTTAATTATTCGATTTCATGATCCTAAGCCATTAGAAGAACTTATTCCATTATTAATTAAAAATTGTTCCAATTTAAATAAGCTTATTGTTTATTTAACTCCTGTCAGGGAAAATGATGTTGACCGTGAAATATCTTATATTCGTTTGATTAATCTACCTGTCTCCATAACAAATGCTATTGATCAATTTTTACCTCAGCTTACAAATTTTCATCTTCGTCAACGTATTCTTTCATACAATGTTGACTTTTTCAATCGACCATCTTATTCTTTACCTCATATTAAAGAAATTCCATGTTCATTAAAACATAGGTCGTATCGAATATTTATTGCTTCGCACTTAACAATTCTATGGAAAAATACAGCTTGACGGTTTAACCAAACACAAATTCAATAGATACAGACATATTTGTTTGTCATAATTAATTTAATATAAATAAATATTTGACAGACAAAAGGTGTCAACACACTTATTATTTAAGATCTTTTTTTTTTGTTTTCGTCATTATAGTTATCTGATGATGTTTTTTTGTAAAAAGATATCAATGCAACTCTTGCAAGATTAAACTATTTAAAATATAAAACAATATCTAGTCATTGTAGTCAATCACAAAAGATATTGTTTTATACTATCTATTTTTAGACACATTTGTTCATCATTCTTTTATGTAATCTTTCGCAAATGCAATAAGGAAATGTTTCATGTATTATAACAATATTTTATTGATAGAAAATCTACGAACATATATCTAACAATACCTGTCACGAACTATAACGATAAGGTAGGGACATGTGTTGGTAAGGTATTTGTGACGATCTGTCAAAAATGGAGTTCGGATGCGGAAATGTTGGACTCAAGGAGTTCTAGTGAGGCGATCAAATTCTAAACTCTATACTTCAACATTCCTCTTAAATCGTGTTTCACAAAAGCTTGGCAGAGAGAGAGAGAGAGAAAAGTATTCAGAAACTCAATGATAAAGCATTGTACTAATCTTAGGTATTTCAAAAGGATATGGTTTTGCTTTATGCATCAATCAGAATAGTTAACTTAAATAATTGAAAGATGTTAGAAAGCACACGATTAGTACGAATAGTATTCCATTGATTTTTTACTTGTTTTCATAGGATCATATGAAATCCATTACTAGCAAGTTACATATATCGGATCACGTTCAGTTTGTTTTTGGTAGTCATTGGATAAAATAATCGTGTTCTGAAGTTGATTGTTTGTTGGCTAAGATTTGTTTTTCATTTATACATTGTGTCATATATTATCAGTCTTGCAAGTATGCATCTGTCAATAATTATGTAGCTTTGCTGAATGATCAATAAAAGTAGAATGAGAGCATTCATACATAGTGCTCGCTAATAAAATTTAACATCTTTCGTAAATTTTCTTATTTTTATCAGACACCATCAATCATAATATAAGCAGCGGTAGATGAATCAAGATTGTCTTGCTCTAAAGTACGATTTTATATATTCAATACTTTTTAATCCAAAAATAATACTTGATTAAGTAGGCCACATCGATCATATCCCATATTTCTGTTTTCTGTTGCTCAACATAATAATCAAAAGTTTGTGTCTCTCTGCAAGATAATGTTTTTGTAAAATCAATGCCTTGAAAAGACTTTTCATTGCACATTTTATTTTAGACTATTTCATAAAAATAAAAAACATACCTACATTATTATTATTATTGCTATCAGTCAGATGAAGATGTTGTTCAGATATCTTTCTTACAGAAACAGTTCAGTATCATTTTATTATAACATAAAGTTCTCAATTTCATTCTTATGGTAATCATGTATGGCAGCAATTTTTCAATAGTTGTCGGCAAATAACTTAGGATAGAGTGGAAGTATACTAATTATAGAATATTTTTGATGCTTGTCGAAAATAATTACGAACACTATTGTGTTCGGTCAACAGTTAACATTTGAAAGCAAGTATTGCTCAAAAAAATGTACATGTATCGATTTGAATGGGTAATAAAATATTTTATTTCAAATGCATCATTCTAAATTGGAAAGAACTTATAATTATTCATACTCTCGGAAATGTTGCTTATGTTCGAGTATATTACTGACAATTTCAAATGATTTCGAGAATCAAATTTTAGGTTAACATTGAAGACTTACATGCTCTTGCTACGTAGGCGCTCATTTAAACATGGACAGATTATAATAAGTGATATCAAAATTTAAGTATACGACTGCCATTTCCTTAGCTTATTTTGTTTTTATTTTTCGTGCCATCTCAATTGACATTTGATAATAATTAATTGTATCATGTTGTTTACTAAGTTCGCTTAATATTAGACCTATATGTGAATATATTCTAAATGTAATTGATTTCAATGTAATCTTAGATGA